CTCTTCCTATTACACAATTTGTTTATTGCTAATAAGTTAAATGTAACATAATACTAAAAATATATATGTTATACAATGTGAACAATTTCGAGATACATCAGCGTAGGTACTTGTTTAATTTACTAAAAACATCTACCGTCATTGTGTCATTTTTAGTTATTATTGAAGTTAGACCACTAAAGCTATGAGTTTAAGCATTAAGAAAAATATGTATATTGTTTAATTATTTTACGTAAGATTTTTTTTTTTTTTTAACTTTTTCTGTAGATATTTTTTTTTTAATATGATATATTTTGAACCAGTTTTATATTATTTGTAGATGTTCATTTGTAAATAATTTGAATAATAAATTTGTATAATTTATATCATTTATGGTTGTTTATTTGGAAATATTTAGGTATATTTTACAATATTTATAGTTGTATATGTATAAATATTTAGGCATATTTTTATTATTTGTAGTTATCTGTATTTAGGTACCTATATATTATATCTTTATAGTTGTTTATTTGTATAAATTTAGGTATGTACTCGTGTATGTAATTTAGCAAACTAGTTTAAATTTAATTCTTTGTTTTAAATTTTGTTAACAATCATTTATTATTTTTGACTATTATGATCAAGGTCATTATTAATATGAAAGTTTTTACTATTTTGTAGGAATTTTTAAAGACTCGGTAATATAACAGAAAAAAAGCACTTATTTTATTATTTCAATTAATTTCTCAGTTTCTTCGTAATTTTTATTTTGTAACCAGGCTACCAAGATCTTCTTACATTGATATTTATTTTTTGAATAGATATTTAAAATTTGATTGATTTTATTGTATAGCATAGGACCCAGAAAGCACTGATATTTATTAATAAAAGCAGTATTGAACTTGGACGTTGCACAGACCCTGTTTTGACGTCTACTTGCATTGTTATAATTATATGGTGATTTCTCATGTTGAGATAGTATTAAATTAACAATGAATAATTGTCGAACTGTTAGCACGCCACATTCTGCGTATAAATTAGATTTATATTTTATGTAAAACAAAAAAGCTCTACACGTGTCAAATATAGCAAATTATATTTAGCATTTAATATAACAAATACCTTATAAAATATAAACAGCGCCATCTATGAACGTAGATTACGTATTACTTAATATTAAATAAAATAAATGTAAACAGCGCCATCTATTGACATTACTTGAACTATCTTTCTTGAAAATGGTTTATCAAGCCAAATTGAACGAAAATAAAATATCTTCACTACAAAAAAACGATACCTAATAATTACATAATATATTATTAAATATCCATATATTTACCGTCAGATTTTTAGCAAAATAAGTTTTAAATGTGTATAAATTAATGCCAAAATGTTTAAAACAGTATTAGATATTATCTTAATTATTTTATGTTGGTTTGTTTTGTTCATGCTTATATAAAGAATAATATTAACTAGCGACGTACCCTCGCTTCGCTCGTGTTCGTCCTCAGTTTTAACGATTTAACGTTTAGTATAGATTTCTCAGAGATGAGATATTTTCGTCGCAGTAAAAATTACAGAATACCGAGTTGATAAAGACTCGTATAATATATTTGAGCCAAACTCGCAAAATTTAGACCAATACAAGGATTACGAAGCCCGTGATACATTAAAAACAATTGAATTTACTGAAAGCAGTACCCAAACGTATGCCGAAGAAAACACTAAAAAAATGGAATTTGCGAATAATGCATTTGGAACATTCGTTGGGCTGGAATTGGCTAATGTACCGGTTCTGAAGAGGCGTTACGTTATGTACCAAATAATTAAAATTATAGAAAATAATTCATAAATGTTATGAATAAATTATTTTAAATTAAATTATTATTCTACATATTTCTTAAAATAAAAAGACATAAATATTTACATAAGACTTTATTTTTTATTATAACAAGTTTTTAAAAATGTTTCTATTTTTCTAGTCATGTATGTGTGTGTCATGTGTGTGTGTGTGTGTGTGTGTGTGTGTGTGTGTGTGTGTCATGTGTGTGTCATGTGTGTGTGTGTGTGTGTGTGTGTCATGTGTGTGTGTGTGTGTGTGTGTCATCTGTGTGTTATGTGTGTGTGTGTGTGTGTGTGTGTGTCATGTGTGTGTGTGTGTGTCATGTGTGTGTTATGTGTGTGTGTGTGTGTGTGTGTGTCATGTGTGTGTGTGTGTGTGTCGTGTGTGTGTGTGTGTGTATGGGTCATGTGTGTGTGTGTGCGTCATGTGTATGTGTGTGTGTCGTGTGTGTGTGTGCGTCATGTGTATGTCTGTCGTGACACACACATACACACATGACACACACACACACATGACACACACACACACACACACATGACACACACATGACACACACACACACACACACACACACACACACACACACACACACATGACACACACATGACACACACACACACACACACACACACACACACACACACACATGACACACACATACATGACTAGAAAAATAGAAACATTTTTAAAAACTTGTTATAATAAAAAATAAAGTCTTATGTAAATATTTATGTCTTTTTATTTTAAGAAATATGTAGAATAATAATTTAATTTAAAATAATTTATTCATAACATTTATGAATTATTTTCTATAATTTTAATTATTTGGTACATAACGTAACGCCTCTTCAGAACCGGTACATTAGCCAATTCCAGCCCAACGAATGTTCCAAATGCATTATTTGCAAATTCCATTTTTTTAGTGTTTTCTTCGGCATACGTTTTGGTACTGCTTTCAGTAAATTCAATTGTTTTTAATGTATCACGGGCTTCGTAATCCTTGTATTGGTCTAAATTTTGCGAGTTTGGCTCAAATATATTATACGAGTCTTCATCAACTCGGTATTCTGTAATATATAAAAACACAAATTTGTAATTAGTAAGAACCTAGACTTTAAAAAAATAGTTTATATAATATATGTACATTACAAGTATTTAAAAACATACTTGAGAAAGAGGCTGCTGCTATTACCCTTTGAAAACCCAAAAAATCAAGAGAAAAACAAAGATTTTAACAAGTATATGTAAACAGATTAATTACCGCCTTCATTGAGTCGTTTTTCTGAAGAGGGGCTATCACATTGGGTTTCATCGTTATTTGGCTCCGTTTCTGGTACTATTTCAGCTTTTTATAAAATTAATTAAAAATAAAAGTAAATGTAAAATAGTTATCTATATATAAAACGTTACTAAAATCAATTTTTAAATAAAATATACAATCATAAAAAGAAAAATAAATACTTACGTTTGTGACGGTTCATTATATATTTTAATAAGTAAACGTGCACAGGTAGGAGTATGAAACTTTAAATTAACATTGTTTTGCAGTGCTACACGAATTTAGAAACAAATAGGTATATTCCCCCACCCTTTCTTCATCACCAGTTAAAAAGTAAATTTCGGGATAATCACGTAAAACGATGTGGTAACCCTTTCGATAGGGTTAATTCTATAGTAGGGCTATCATTACAAATGATTAACACATTTCATTTGCTTAAAGGTAGGTTACACATATAATGGGTAACAAGGTTTTTCTACGTTCATTTTGAATGGGTAACCGTTTTTTTTGGCTTAACTCTAAACCCGGGTTTTACGGTCCCTGGCGCGTACACTTGTGCACTATAATATCTCCTGCGCAGTTGGCTAGTCTCAATGAGATTGGCCGCCGTGGCCGGAATCGGTCTGGAGGACATTGTGCTCTCATAGGCACGGTGATGAAACACCACCAACTTTCCAAGTACATGTTATTGAGGCTCCGGGCTGTTATTGAGGTTTAATATCCAGAAAGACTCAATAACTAAACTTGGCCCGACCCGGTGCTCAAACCCAGGACCTGCGGGTGTGCAGCCGTACATGCTAGCCACTACACCACCGAGGCAGTTCGAATTAAATAGTAGGTATTAGGTACACTGATACCTAATTAACCGTAAAACCATATCCACTGTTTAATTTTCGTTACTTATAATGAATAATTAAAATTCATTTGATATCGTAACCCTAATAAGTCGGAAATTAAAATTTGCAAATTTTTATAAAATACTTAATTCGTCAGTAAAGAACCTTTATGTGAAGTTCAGTAACGTATAAGCAGCGACATCATACGGTACGTACTTCCCAATATATATCCCATATATACTTTCCAATATAATTCCCATATACATATCTATTACAAGACATTCATATTTATTGCTAAAACTTGAAATGAACAATTTTTTTTTTTAAATATTTAATACTAGTGATGTGCCTTTAAAATCATGAGGAATTCTTATACTCGTAGCATCCCTTTAATGACTTTTTCCACATTGGATTTAACATCGAATACCACTGGATCTGTGGAAACTACTTGATAGGTATACGTGATCGTAGATGGTTGGTTTAGCATTATCACTACATTTGTAAATCCACGTCTCACAACACGCTGAGTCTGTTTTGTTCGAGCTAATCTCAATTATACGGATACAAAGGGTTCCCACAAATAGGAAGAGGGGTTATAGGGTTATCATTCATGAAAATAAGCATCGATATGATGAATGAATGAATATTTGTGAATTAAGTCAGAAAAATCGGTTCTACTGAGAGCTTTCATCTATAGTAATATTAAATATATAATATTATAAAGAGATAAAGTTTGTGAGTTTTTGAGGTTATAGTGGCTAATACCTGGATCTACTGAACCGATTTAGATTGAGTTTGGTAAGAAGATAGTTTGAGACCCTGGGAAGACATAGGATACTTTTATCCCGGAAATCATCCCTTGATGGGGTGGAAATAGGGATGAAAGTTTGTATAGGGGATCAACCTAGCGACGAACCCGAGCGCAGCGAATGTGAGTCGCTACTAATATTATAAAGCCAAGGGCGTAGACACTTGGGAGTGAATCGAGGGTGGGTCAATAGTATATACTATATAGTTAAGGAGTGATGCTCGATTTAGTATCATTTATAGGTCCCTAAGTAAAATGATTTGGCAGCCACTAAATCTATCAGAAGTTTGTCCACCCCATTCTCCTGTCAAAGCTTGCTCGTCCTTTGGATATGTTTATCTCAACCTCCTGGTACATTTATACGGAGGCTCCAAAGACGAGGAAATTAAGAAGAAATGTGATACTCAAAGAGATGAGGAGACACCAGACAAATACGACTTCATAGTGGTTGGTGCCGGGTCGTCGGGATGTGTGGTGACCAATCGACTATCAGAGAATGATAGATGGCAGGTCGGCCATAATATGTTCTTATTTGTTACCTTGATAATCCTACTAATATTATAAATGCGAAAGTTTGTGAGGATTTATGGATGTCTGAATGTATAGATATATGGATGTTTGTTACTCTTTCACGCAAAAACTACTGAATGGATTTTAATTAAACTTTACAATAATATAGCATCAGGATAACACATAGGCTACTTTTTATCCCGGAAAAATACACGATTCCCGTGGGATAAATTTTCTTAATAAATAAAACTAGCTTTTTATTTTTTTACGCATTTATTTTCTTTTTTGGTTTCTAATGTTTTCGAAAATATAGCTTTATATAAAATATCAAATATTTATGTAAATCTAAGTAAATCGAACGACCTATATATATCTACCATTCAAATAAAAATTTTGCATCTAACGATGGAAAACACAGTTATTATATTTGAAATTATGTTGAAATTGTTTTTTAAGTTTTAATTGATATTAATCCAAATAAAAATTCGTTGATAATAAATTACATTTTTAGGTATTAGTTCTAGAAGCTGGTTCTGATGAGCCCAACATGACCTACGTGCCGGCGCTCTACAGAGTGTTGTTGGGGTCTAACATTGACTGGGGGTTTAAAACGAAGCCTAACGGGAAAAGCTGCCTGGCTCGCCCTGAAGGCAGTTGTCCGTGGCCCAGGTACGAGTATAATTGTGATAACAAATTTGGAAAGAAGAAGACGGAAAATAGCTGTTATATTTACTCGTATTTACAATGTCATTTTTATTTATAATTAAAAGTTTATTGACATACAACTAAATGATATAGAATTCTAAATAAATGCAACCTACTTGGAAGATAAAATAAAATATAAAATTAAAGGAGTATACTATCTTTACATATATATTACATTATGATTACAAAATGTATGCAAATACATATATTCCTAAATCAATATATATATACAAAAAATATGTACCAAAAAATATGTACATATAAGTTGGTCGTTTTTATATAATAAAATTCACAGTTTTATATTATTGTGTATAAAAAGGTTTCTTTTTGTAAATTATAGAGGTAAAGTGATGGGCGGTTCAAGTTCAATCAACTCATTAGCTTACATCAGGGGAAATAGAGCGGACTACGACGGCTGGGCGGCGATGGGCAACCCGGGGTGGAGCTACGAGGACGTGAGTACTCATATAGCATGGATATTGTGGAACTTATGCACATACACACCATATTCCAACATTAACTGCCTCGGTGGAGTAGTGGCTAGCATGTTCGGCTGCACACCGGGAGGTCCTGGGTTCGAGTCCCGGGTCGGGCCAAGTTAAGTTATTGAGTCTTTCTGCATAGTACGCCTCAGTAACAGCTCAGAGTTGGGCAGTTGGCGGTGTTTCACCCCCGTTCTTCGGGTAGCACGTAAAGTCGTCGGTCCTGCGCCTTAACTCTCACTCTAAAAAGCAATGCTTAAAATGTTGGTTCAACTAAAAAGTGATAGACGCATGAAAACAATGTAGAAATGTGAATTATACGCTGTTCTACTTTTTATATTGAACCAGCGACTTATCCTTGCTTTAATTAGCATGAATAGATGTCGAACCTATGCCCTATTTATGTTCCATACTAATTTGTATCCTTTTCCATCCAGCCGTTTCAGCGTTAAGGAGTAACAAACATATACACACAAATTTTCGCATTTAAAATAGTAGTCCGATTATTAATATCCAAATCGCTTCCCAGAACCTTATAATAGTTATTTATATTGAAAACTATCATATATCTCATCATATCAAATTTTTCCAGAATAAAAAATATAGCCTATATGCTGTTCAAGACTATACTCTATCTGTGTACCAAATTTCATCTAGATCCGTTTCACATTTATAATATTAGTAAGATTAAATAATAAATAACATTTATAAAACAGGTATTCCCGTACTTCATTAAATCAGAAAATAATTTAAATATTGGTTCGTTAAATCCAAGCTATCATGGGATTGGAGGAGAACAATATATTTCTTACTTACCCTACATCGACGACCCTACACTTATGTTAATAGACAGTTTCCTTGAAAGAGGATTCCCCATTATTGATTACAACGGCCGGGAACAAGTTGGAAATAATCAAGCGCAGGCATTTTCTATCAACGGCGAAAGAGTATCAACTAATAGAGCTTTCATAAAACCCATAAGATATAGAAGAAAAAACCTAGCCGTCGAAACAAACGCTGAAGTGACAAAAGTTTTAATTGATGAAAACAAAAAAGCGTATGGAGTGAATTACGTGCAAAATAATATAAAACGAACAGCTTATGCTAAGAAAGAAGTAATTATTTGTGGAGGAACTATAAGTTCTCCTAAGCTTTTGATGTTATCGGGCATTGGCCCAAAGGAACATTTAGAAAATGTAGGCATTACTGTCATACAAGATTTGCCAGTTGGAAAAAATTTACATGATCACGTGTCTTTTAATGGAATTATACTTGCTCTATCAAATGAAACGGCCACAACTGTTAGTGACGATCAGGTACTACAAGATATTAAGGAATACGATAGTATGAGAATCAAAATGGGACCTTTATCAGGAAATGGACCGGCGAATTTTATAGCATTTGCTAAAACCGAACCAAGCTTAGACGCTCCTGACGTTGAATTTCAAGTTGGTCACGAACCAGATTGGAGAGATTTGATAGACCATCTGGATACAGTGGACGCAGCTTCTATTCTGCCCACAGCTTATTACAACGGATTGACTCCTAGAGTTATGAATTTAGTCCCTAAAAGTCGAGGAGAGATTCTGTTAAACGCATCCAACCCAGATGGTCCGCCATTAATTTTTCCAAATTACCTTGATGATGAAAATGATTTTATACCATTATTGAAAGGTGTAGACATATTATTGTCACTAGAAAATACTACAGCTTTTAGAACGAACGGAGCTTATTATGTAAGAGAGGAGATTTCGGCGTGCAAAGACTACGAGTGGGGCACAAAAGAGTACTTCATATGCTTGGCCAAAACCTACACTTCCACAACATACCATCCAGTAGGAACGTGCAAAATGGGTCCAAAGAGTGACAAGACGGCTGTTCTGGACAACGAGCTCCGGGTGCACGGGGTCGAAGGTCTGAGAGTGATCGATGCGTCGATGATGCCGGTGATTGTGAGAGGAAACACTAACGCCCCAGCTATGATGATAGGGGAGAGGGGGGTCGACTTCGTTATTAAATACTGGAATCGTTTCAAGACAGGAAGCTGAGTATATAATGCTATGTTTTTTTTATTTATGGTATAGGTAAATTTATATAAAATAATTTCAAAAGTTAGCAAGTTTGGGAGTTTGACGATGTATTGTGATTAGAATTATGTATTAATATATATTAATATTTTCCTTTCGTCTTTTAATAAAATAGCAATCTTTCGTATGGGAGTATAGAAAAGTGTTGTTTTTAGACTTTTTTAGGAATATTCTAAAAAAACAATTAGCGAAATCGGTTCAGCTGCTTTCGAGATTTGCGCTTACCAACACATTCAGCGATTCATTTTTATATTATAGAAGATTATCATTCAGGCTAGCAAAACCATAATTCTAAATAATACAACAAAAATTGCAGTAAAAAACTTTATTTCATGTTAAAAAAGTAGAAATTGAAGGATACAATTCTGACTTACTATTTTACCATATCACTTAATGTAAAAATGTACAAGCCTTGAGGCGAAACGTTCAATAATTACAATTCGTACAAAAATACACCTAACATCCTCTTATCTCTAGTGTTAATGGTACAAAAACAATAGAACATTGCTATATATAAAGTCAATAGACTCAAACCAAACACTAGATGGCGTTATCGCCGATGTCATTATACGGCGATCGCAATACACGATTAATTGACAAAAATTTCAACATTTCCCAATAGTTTTGATTGAAAGTTTTCACTTTTCGGGCAACTTGATAACAGGCATCTGGCATCCCCAGTTTGTTTCGCAGTGTTCGATCAAATCTTTCTCAGAATCAGACAAGATGGACAAATCTATTTCTTGGCTGTCGCTAAATGGGTCAGCGTAGGGATAGTGGACTAAAATGCAGCTGAAGTCCATTGGCGTTTTGCAGAAGCCGAGAATCTTTTTTAATTTGGCTTCTGAATCAATCTGTAAAGATAGAAAAGGATTTATTAGCACATTACAATATAACTGTTATTTTTAAATATTTTTGGTCATTCGATAATCAGCCCAATTTTTCTTATTTAAAATTTTCATTATTTAAGTTTAATTAGTCTTTATTAATATTTTTTATAGAAAAAAGGCATAAATCGAAAAACAACTTGATTCTTACCTTAATAACATAGATCTCGTTTTCATCGCAAAAAGCTTGTAAAAGTACTTCTTGCATGTGCGTCGCGCTGTCGCCAGGCGGCGCGGCTGCCGTCAGACAGAACAGGGCCCCATCGGTGTTCTTCGAGAGATACTGAATAGCAGGAAGAAGACCGATGGTCAGCCTCTTCTCCACACAGGCTCGCCGTAGCACAGTCTTGATACATTGACTGATTGGGCTGTGAAGAGAAATGAAAGATTAGTATTATTTTAAAGACCCGAAGATATAATGTTTTATCATAATCTACTACTACTGTATAAATCGAAAAAAATAAAAAAGTAATGCTTTGAATTTAGTTTATTTTAAATAAGCCAAAAAAGTACTCCCCGGCGGGGAATCGAACCCCGGTCTCCCGCGTGACAGGCGGGGATACTTACCACTATACTACCGAGGATGACGAACTTAGGTATAAAATTAACGAATGCGTTATGCTATTTTGTAATACACTAATCGATGTTAAAATTAACTAACATATTTTCCAAGAAATTGAACATCAAATCAAAACTCGGAATTTCCAATTATTATTGTCATTATTATTTATTAGGTTTAAGTTAATAAAGAATTTTTGAAACAATTATTGACCCCAATTATAGCATATACCTTAATTTTTGTGGCTTTGAAAATCTTCGACAATTCATATTTGTTAAAGTATTCTTCATTAATTTTCTGATTAACAATACTAAAGTAAACTTTAAATAAATGTGCAGTTATAAAAATATTTTTTAAACATTATTTATGAATATTATTATATTACACAACTTTCTAATTAGCCGGTTGGATAACGAGTGAGGGAACTTTGGCAAGTTTGCACATGTGCATTCAAATGTTGTGCAATAGACCTATCCAACATTATTAAATATTATGACATACAACACTATCATGTATAGTTATATTTAAATAGTATTTACCTTTTAGCGGCAACTCCACTGAAGGACTCAGTTTTCACAGGAACCACAGACTGGTTGTACATTTTGCTGGTTAATTGTATACTCTTCAAATTTTCACAAATTATTGGCAATTGTAATTCGTAATTACGAATTTTCACAGTTTCACTTAACACAGTGTAAAACGTTTTCAATGTTCACTTATTATTTATCAGCACTTATAAAATATGTAATCTCTATCAGATACGAATGTCACAATAATTTCACTTCATGAACTCAAGTGGCGTGGCGTCTCTACGGTAGCTTGGATCAGAATGGTGGGGACAGATGACGTACCGCCTTTTTATACTCAGTTTGACGCATGCGCCATATCAATGTTTGAATGTGTGTATAGTAATGAAAAAGATTCCTCGAAACCCACTTGTCGCGTTCCATGTGTTCACCAAACTTGCTTTTGTGTTGTGTTTTTAGTGTTAGTGTGCATGAAATTTTCTCCAAACAATCATTTGGCAAGTTTCAACGTGTTTATAATGAATATCCACTATATCCTTAACCTCCCCTCTCCGCTTGTAGCCGTATTGTTACAGCGACAGACGGGGGAAACCACGTTCGTTTGCTCTACACGATGTAGAGTACGCACACAAATATAGAGCATTGTGTGCGTATTTATTTACGTTAGTCGGAATTCCCGCGTCAGTTTTGTTGGGGAAAGGACAGGTACTGTGTTGCTAAATAACTCTATTGGGTATTTCGGCGGATATTTCAATACACTTTGTAAGTAGGACTTCATCTAGGATGCGATTTTTGTGTATTTACGACAATTATAGTGCAATATTATGTAATGTTGTTTCGATATGTTTTATCCTGTTTATCTTTACATTTAAGCTTTGCGCTGAAGCGATGCCCCACTAAGAATATAGCGGTACTTATTATAAAATATCTGCAAATTATTGTGAAATAACAATGAAAATGAATTCAAGTGTATCTTTACAAAGATTTGGTTGATACTTAATAGTCAGTACTCAGTACCAACATTGCCCTATTTCTGGGCTTAGTATAAAGTATATAAATAAATTGCTAGCTCTACATAACCATTCTACTCTATATTAATTTAAAGTACCTGAAAAAATAAAAGAATTAATAATTTTAAAATATTTGAAATAACAATATTTTTGCCGTAATTAATTACATTATTTTAGAGAAAAATACACAATCAATAAAATATTCAATAATATTGATGAAAAGGAACTTTTAGTAGAAAGATAACAAGTTATCAATTTTGCAAGCGTAGTTTATGTGGGTTAAGGTCGAGGCGAGGTTTTTACAGATTCAAAGATCACGGATTAAACACTTGTTCGTGTCAGTATGAAAATATTATTGTAACGTGGAAAATATTAATGGATATTAATAATACTGGGTTTAACACTAAATAATAAACAACGGATGATCTTGATTTCGACCGAATTGATGTAATTATGTGACTAAAAAACAATAATTATATTTATATGTACGATTAAATAATGCACAATACGATACCAATTAATTATAATTATGTTATATTTTATTTATTCAACTGATTAATTAATTATATTTTTTAATTTAAATTCCCAAGGAGGGTTGACGTCAGGCAGGCGTGAGGCGGCCGGTCGTAAAACTTTTGCCAAATCCTTTAAGCAGTACAGAAGATGTACTGCGCCGACCCCGAGTGATTGGAAAATGGGCAGGGAGATGATGATTTATTTATTGATGATGATACATTAATTCAATAATTATTAAATTGTATGTATTTTATCCTTATATATTTTTTTAATACAAAAGCTTAAAATAAAACTTTTGGTTTATGTACTTAAGAGTTTAAAATTATATAACCACACAGAGTGACAAAGGAAGTTAAATATTTAATATATACTTTTTTTAATTTTTTATTTTGTATTAAGATATTTTACACAATATGTCCGTATCGGTTATCTTTTGTAACAATATTTTTTTTTAACTCTTAAAGGAATTTGTTTTGTTATATCGAATTAAATAACTCGTTTACTGATAATAATAATTTTTTTAATGACTTTTGACTCGGTCGCTTAGATTCAAAGATACTACATATTTGTAATTCGAGCTCTCTATAATTCTATGGGCTTCAATATAAATCATGGGTTATGTTTAATGGCTTAACTATAATATGGGCAGTGGACATAATATAGATAAGTACATTGTATGTAATACAATAAATTTATTATTAAATTGACCGACTTCAAAAAATAAAAATAAGTACTTACCTACTTCGAATGGATTTCGTGTGTTTATTTTATTAGTTTTGATATTTCGATTTTCGTCAATCTTCTTCTACTCAATATGTTACATCGAGGGTGGTTTCATAATCCATATAAAAAAATCAAATCTAAGGGTGTAATTCCTTAAAAAATTATTTTGATATCAGTATAGTTGAAAAGTTATATTTTAAATGAAAATATCTTTATTTCCCGATGCAATTGATAGAATTTTATAAAAAGTATCCAATGTATCCAGATAGGATACTTTTATCGTGATCTACAAAATCTAGATATTAGGCTCTCAGAAAGTGTTATGAACAAATAGTAGAAGTATAAAGCTCTATCTCTGACAACAATTTTATAAATAAGACTAGCGACTCATCCTTGCTTCGCTCAGGTTCGTCCCTAGGTATTTTTAATATTTAATACCTTAGGTTACATTATCGCAATTTTCGTGGGGATCTCTAATTTTTTTTGAAAATAAAATATGGCCCATGTTACTCGCTGATTATGTAGCTTTTGATAGATGAAAGAATTTTTAAAATTGGACCAGTATTTTTTTAGTTTATCCCTACAAACAAACATACATACAAAAAATTATTTTTCTCTATATAATATTAGTATACAGAGACAATCACACCAGCACCACTGTATTATGCAATTAGTCAGCATCACTCGCCGGGAGAGTGGTGACTGGCCAATGTTTATAAACAACCCGGGCAATGTTCGAGGCACGATACTACTATGTACTATCATATTATCTACTTAATTATATTTATCAGAATCTTGTTTATCTTACCAATCAATATTTTAATCGTTATTTCTAATGACTATATAAAAGATAGATACATATTTAAATAAATTTTTCTAGGCGATTTCTTTAAATCGATACTAAAGAAAAATACAAAAGATGAAAAAGAAAGATAACAAAATGACATGCTAAGGCGGTCCTATTGCTATGAGAAATCTCTTACAGAGAATCTTTGGTGAAAGAATTGATGAAACCGTAAACAGGTCGGTACAATAAATCCAACTAATATTATAAATGCGAAAATTTTGTGAGGATGTATGTATGGATGTTTGTTATTCTTTCACGCAAAAACTATTGCATTTTAATGAAATTTTACAATAATATAGCTCAAACATCAGAATAACGCATAGGCTACTTTTAATCTTTATTATCCCGGAAAAATGTAGGGTATCCCGAGGGATAAATTTATTTTTGTTTTTCTAAAGATGAACACAAGCGAAACGAGGGTAAGCCTCTAGTATTAAATATACCTATACAAGCTCAAAAATCTACTTATAAAATATACATACATAAGACGTATAATAATATTATAATTATATTTAGTTACTTGTAAAGATCATAATTTATGTGGTAATTTCTACGTACTCGTAGTAACTGATTTTCAGTACTCTGTCCGTCCCTTAGTCCATAGAAAAATCTGTACTGGCTATCTATACTAATATTATAAAGAGGTAAAGTTTGTGTGTTTGTGAGTTTGTGACGTTGTAGGGGGTAATTTCTGGATCTACTGAACCGATTTAGATGAAATTTGGTAAGAAGATAGTTTGAGACCCTGGGAAGAACATATGATACTTTATATCCCGGAAATCATCCCTTAAGGGGGTAAAAATGGGTATGAAAATTTGTATTAGGAAGCTAGCTAGGGACGAACCCGAGCTAAGCGAGGGTGAATCGCTAGTATACCTATATAAGAATTACCAACAATAACCTTTATGAGTAATAAATATTATAACAATAATTAACAATAAGAAAACCTTAGGTTATCAGGCAAATATTAAATCATTCAATTATTGAAATGACTTAATAATGGTATCTAATTTAATTTATCATTTCAATTTGATGATTTGTCATTTTTAATTTTTTTATCATATCGTATTATATAATTTTGATTATGTGATTCAATTATATCGATTTAAACATTTTTGTTTGAATTACTTTAAAATTGAAATCTATACATATAATAAAATTGTAACTAAGCCGAATCTGTACATTAAATATTTTTTGGAATATCTTTTTGAAATACACATTATTATCGATACAGAGGCCGAATCTACAGATTTTAGAATTTTTGTCTGTCTGTCTGTTACCGCATCACAGAAAAACCACTGGAGGGATTTTAATGAAATTTGGTATGGTGATAGCTGGTTATCCGGGTCAACATATGAGATACTTTTTACCGCGAGAAAAAAACATAAACTGCAATGTAAGGGTATACTAATATGTAAAACCTAAGAATTTGGTTTTTGTTTATCTGAACGCCGGCGGAGCCGCGGGCAATGCTAGTTTTAAATAAAGCAATAAGTTTTGACGCGTATTTAAGCAAAACAATAGATGATGCATAGGAATTTATACACATCTCGTGTATCGATCGTTCCCGAGAGGCAAGAACCTCAGGTCATGCCCGCCTGCGGCGGTCCACAGCCCGTCCTTGACCTGAGAAATTAAACTCTACCGTTAGCGCATTCATTACTATTTATTTACAATTTGTTCAACTTCGAATTCAATAACAAAATAAAGTACTTATTATATCATTATATAGTTTTTTTTAAAGAATAAATCTATTTCTTAGAAAATATTAAAGTATATTGCTTTTATGCTCAATGTTTTATGGAAAAGAAAACTAATAAGACAATTAACTTTTATTGATATATTACAAGTATCTCACCCTTGCTTTGCTTGGGTTAGCTTCTAGAAAAACACAAACAAATCTCTCCCACGGGAACCGTACACATTTCCGGGATAAAAAGTAGCCTATGTATTATTCTAATGCATGAGCTATATCATTGTAAAGTTTCATTAAAATCAATTCAGTAGTTTTTGCGTGAAAGAGTAACAAACATCCATATCTATATATCCAGATATCCATACACCCTCACAAACTTTCGTATTTATAATGTTTTTAGGATACTAGGATAATCTTAGCATGTATACAGGCAGCAAAGCTAAACATTCAATAATAAATTAAATAGCTTTTAAATTACAAGTTATGACCAGGTAATTCCTTTGTGATAATATTAACAAGTAATAGCTAAAGGAAACAAGTATTATTTGTTGATAACGTTGGGTTTTCTTAAGTGCCATTTTCCTTAAGCCTGCGCACGCGCAAGCATATAGCGGTTAGCCTTCGTGTCCACGGTGGTCTTTAGTTGACAACTAAGCAAAGTAGACGAAATTATTTTATAGAATAAGTATATTTTCTCGTATATAACATTTATTTATGTTTTTGTAGCTCAACATTTAAAAAAAATAAAATTACAACAACAAAGGCAAGTTCGTTATTATTTTGAAATAGCATCTACATTAAGTATAGAATATTTTAAGTCTATAAATTACATTGAACTAAAAAAAAAACCTTACCTTAAGTATATATACATAATATAATAACTAAAAAATATTAATAAAAGGAGTCCCTTTAGGCAAGGTTCCGAAGATACTGGCAGCGTTCCCCCTTTGAATAGGCAGCTTTCTGCCAGCTCTTTAAAAAAATTGTAAGAAAAAATATGAATATAAAATGCTATAAATGAGGCATAAATTGCACACTAATTAATTATCAAACACATCTTTGTCAACATCAAAAAGGTTTTACATTGTTCTATAGGTACTTAATATTTCTTCTTGTTGGGTTAATTATATTCTCGTGTTTGTCACAGCAGTACAAAGATGTTATCAACTAAAAGAATTTGATTTTTTTCAAATTTATATTAAAGAATATTTCTTTATGGAATCAAAGACAAAGAATATTTCCTATACAAAAGCTTTATTCGGTAAAAATGTGATTGAACTTTTTCGGCAGCTTTACAGTTCGTGAACTTAAAGCTAGAGATCCGAGACAGGAGCAGAAAAGGTCATCAAATCACAAGTACCTACGCATGCTTTTTAATTCGTCTATCACCCCCATTAGGAACAGATATACAACATGGTACAAATTCTAAATTATTTATTATAATAATTGCAAAAGTTTGTGTGTATGTTTCTTCTTCACGCTAAATCGTTTGACGACACGTTTGGCTCAGTTTATAGAGATCCTACTTGCTGTGCCAGCGGTTGCGGGTTCGCCTCCCGCTGGGGGCATTCTTTTGTGCGATGAGCACGAATGTTTGTACTCCAGTCATGGGTTTATAATATGTACGTATTTAAAGTTATATATGTGTAGTGTATCAACTATCTGGTATCCATAACACAGGCCTCGTAGCTTACCATGGAACTATATGGTGATGTGTGTTAATGTCCCAACAAAAAAAAACGTCAGAACGGGTTTGGACGAAATTTTGTGTCACTACAGTTAGCATGTAACCTGGTGTAACACTTAGGCTACTATTTGATATATAGAGATCTGAGGGAAGCAAGAATAATCGTATAAAAATAACAAAAAAAATGTAAAGACAGAGAGAACAGATGCGAATTTGAATTTATCACATAGTTATACCATTAGTAAGTAGTAAGTACGACTTTTGTTTGGTCCATAGTAATTTATATTTGGGTCCACGTTAGTATTATTCAACGTAGGTACCCACATATCATGTATTCACTTTACACAATTTCTAGCTTCTAGGCAAGAGTGAACAGGCATTTTTCTAGACAAACGCGCTTCAACCTAGACCTCATCAGTGTTTCCCAGCGCTGATTGTCGTCAAGCGTAAGCCTATCGTCCAATAAAAAAAATTGCTAATATATATATAATATCTATATAAATATCATATAAAATATATATAAAATAGCTAATATATATAATACCTGTTTCAGTCAACATTGCTGAAAATAATTAAACCTCGCAAAATTATAATAACTATATATTACGTATTCAATTATGTTATATTACTTTATAATACATAATAAACTTTAATTCTTTATAAGAAAAAAAAATATTCCCATTATGTTCAAAACTAATTTTGGCGTAACACAGTAATCGAACTAAACACTAAAAGATTCGCAATCTTTTCCTCTCAATGTCCGATGGAACGAGGACGACACGACCGATGAGAGTTAAGGCGCAGGACCGACGGCTTTACGTGCTCTCCGAGGCACGGGGGTGAAACACCGCCAACTTCCCAACTCCGGGCTACTACTCAGAATATTTTAACAGAAAAACTCTGTTCTGTAATTAATCTTAGCCCAACCCGGTACTCGAACCCCGGACCTGCAGCCGTACCTGCTAGCAACTAGACCAATTTATGCAAATATATGTACGACAACGTCAGTTATGTGAATTTCGTTAATATATGCTATTTAGTATTATCAATTCTATCATAGTGTAAATTACAACTTGTGAATCATGTCACATGTGCGCGGGCCGCGTCGTGCCGGTGAAGGTCGCGCGATGCCTCCGCGGTAATTGGTTCAAAGAACTCTATGAATTTTCCTTTTCAACACGAATCGATGTTAAATGTTCCACATTTTCTGTTCACTCGTTCCCAATACTTAATCGTTTTTGTGAGTTTTTCATTGACCTTTCATTTGCTGAACACGTGTTGTTGTAAGACGTAATAATATTTGATTTTAACATTAAATTGCTATTAATTTTAGTATGTTTTCCTTATCAGTACCAATTGCGAAATATCCATATAAATGCGAAAGTAACTGTCTGTCTGTCTGTTACCTTTTCACGCTTAATCCGCTAAACTGATTTTGATAAAAATTTGTTATGAAGATAGTTTGAGACCCTGGGAAAGACAGGATAGCTTTATCCCGGAAATCATCCCTTAAGGAGGTGAAAAGGGGGGTGGAAATTTGTATAGGGAATCAATCATTTCTCAAGTAAGGCATATAAATTATTAATTCATTATACCTACATATAGTCTATTTATTCCATATTAAGCGTGAAAAGGTACATAATAAAGGCTACTATGATATGTAACACGTATACATTTCCCCGGACCATCTGAATCCATATAATGTAACTTCACTAAAGGATAAAGCGTTGTATTTCGTATCCTGCAAACTGAGATCAACGCCAAGACTATTATTATCAGGTAAATCGTTTTACAAATATCATAATAAAGCAAAATAATGCAAATTTTCATTCCTCCAACCATTTACACTTACATATTTTCTTGATAGGTATAGATATGACAATGCAAACCTACACTAGATCTTTGCTTTGTATGAGGTTGCTCCAACTGTTGTTTTGAATTTTACTGTACCATAAAATGATCCTTCTACAAACATGCATCTATCTATACTTATTATAAAAATAAGTCCCCCGGCCGCGTCTTTCTGTCCTCCTGTCTGTCCTCCTGTCTGTCTGTACGCGATAAACTCGAAAACTACTGAACGGATTTTTATACGGTTTTCAACAATAGAAAGAGTAATTCTTGAGGAAGGTTTAGGTATATAATTTATTATGCTTTTATGTAAATTAGCTGAAATACGGCGACAAATGTTGAAGAGGTCGCAAAAAATCTCGCCAAATGGGAACTTTCCACGCGAACGCCGCGTAAACTAGCAAAGATACAGTTAAGTAATGTACTAGAGAATTCAAAATCTATAAAAATGCTACAAAAAAGTCCGCGATAGCATATCTCTATCTCTTACGGTTGACTTACAATAACCACTTTTATGTTAACATTTTTAATTAAAAACATTACGTTATTTTCAAAGTTATTTTCTTTAGTTCGGTATTAATCCTTATCCAAATGAATATTTTAGTTAGCTTAGTCATTTAATGCAGATTAAAATTGCTCTTTACACTAAATCAATCAGATGAATAGTTTTTGAGATATCGTTGTTAGAAGTAATTAGTAGCGAAACATTTTTAATGCTTGGCGAGCATTGAGATGCCTACGGCGAGTCCATCCCCTCTGCCCCGCATCGCTCGACCGCCTGCTCAAGCTATATAAACCGGGCGATGTAGCGCGCGATCCTAGGATACTTTTTACCGCGGGAAAATATCTTATTTCTGAGGAAAAATACAAAAACTGCAATGTAAGAGTATACTAATATGTAACACCTAAGAATTTAGTTTTTGGTCATCTGAACGCGGGCGGAGCCGCGGGCAATGCTAGTATTATATAATTATATATATATTCTAAATAAAACTATCTTTTCGGATTATTTCGCGGATTTATTTTGATTTTTGGTTCCCGACGTTTTGAACGCTTTACAGCAATCATGGTCACGGGAGAGACTAAGGTTATAGACGTCTCAAACACATACTCGTTACAGACAGTGCCCACCCACTATTTTACAAAAATGATTTCATAAATTCAAAAATGGCAATAAATGGCGACAAGATAGTTTTATTTAAAATTAGCATTGCCCGCGGCTCCGCCCGCTTTCAAATGACCAAAAACCAAATTCTTAGGTTTTACATATTAGTATACTCTTATAGTTTTTGTATTTTTTCTCAGAAATGAGACATTTTCCCGCAGTAAAAAGTACCCTATATGCAGTGGCGTAGCGTGCCTTGTCGGGGCCCCGTATAAAAATTTTTTTGGAGGCCCTTATATGGAGGTAAAGATTTTTCACAAAAGAAAAAAAATATTGTGAGAAGTAATATTTATTTATCACATAATTTACCCATTTTACAAATAAAAATCGAATTTTAAATATTCACTCTCCTTGCCTTTTTATCGGCAAACTGATTTATTAAATCATTTATGGCTGATGATGATTTTAGTTTTTCTAAAGTTTCTGCCTCTATGGACAATAGTGAGATGTCTGACAGCCGTTCTTGTCCCATCGAAGTTCTTAAGTAATTTTTTATTAGTTTTAATTTTGAAAAACTTCTTTCTGCCGTTGCGGTTGTAACTGGAGGGGTCAAGAATAAAAAGCATGCTGTGATTACCTCGGGAAAACTGGATGCAAGACTATTGAATTTTACTAGCAATAATTCAATGAGTTCTTTAATGGAATAAATTTTTTTAATTTCAGAATTTAAGCATGTTTTTAGAGCCTTTAATTGGTCACAAAGATTAAGTGAGATGTCTTTACTGTATTTAGCAGACAGTTTTCCGGAAGCGTTTAATATCTCTTCGCTTGAAGAAGATAGGAGTTTCTCCGGTTGTAATATTTCGAATATACTACTCAGGTTGCAAAGGCTCTGAAATCTTTCTTTAGTTTGAGAAAATAATATATCTAAACAGCAATAGTATACATTGACTTTGAAATAGGATTCCGGGTCGGAAATTCTCTCATCTTGTGATAACTCATCAAAAAAACGCTTCGTTATCTTTCGCCTACTGTTTTTAAAAACAGTTGTTACCCCCCACTTTTTTGCTAAATCTTTGGATTCATTTAGCAAACTATTAAATGAATTCTGATTTCTTAATTGGCACAGTCTATTTAAAATATTACTTAATAAAATACTAGATTTCTGTAAGTCATTATTATCATGCTGTAGAGCTTTAGAAACAGGATTAATAATTTCAAATAGTGAAGAAAAAAATGTAACGAGCACTAAGAAATCAAAACTCTCTAAAATATTAATTATACTTTTACATTCTTCACGTTCATCTTTTTTATTTGAAATTAAATTTAGTTGGTACAAAGTTTTCATGATTAGTAAAAAATTTTTCTTTACTGCTAATAAAGCGTCGTTCCTAGAAGACCATCTGGTAGGACATACCTTTTTAAGGGTAATCAAATATTTTTCAGATGAATCGTCACTTAGCATAGCCCAGCGTTTTATACTATTGCCAAAAAAAGTATATATTTTTTCTAAATTATCGAAAAAAGTCGATACTTCACGAACATGTCTCGCAGCATCGTTCAAAACCAAGTTTAAAGCGTGCGCAGCACAATGAACATAATCGGCATTTGGAGCATGCTCTTTTATTAGGGTTTGTAATCCTCCATACACACCCGACATAACATTTGCTCCATCGTATCCCTGTCCTCTACATTTAGTCAAATCAATTCCATATTCTTTAGTCAAATTTAAAATGACAGTTTTCAGACCTGCAGCACTGCAATCGGTTACTGCTATGAATCCTAAAAAGGACTCACAGATTTTTATTTCTTTAGGCACATTATCATCATTTTCTGTAACCGAGATATATCGAAAAACTACAGATAGTTGGTCAATTTTTGACAAGTCTTGTGTTGTATCCAGAATTATTGTCAGAAATGGAGCTTTTTTAATTTCTGAGATAATACTGTTCCTAACGTTAGTACCAAGCAAACTAATAATTTCGTTTTGAATCGTAGGGCTTAAATAATTTATTTCACCTTTCGGTTTTAGAAAAAGTTCTTTTAAAGTTGCATCATAGTTAGATAGAAGACGTGAAATTGCCATAAAATTGCCAGAATCAGAATCATGCCCCCTCAAAGGTAGATTACAAGATACTAAAGTAATTATAACATTAATTATACGATGCAGTACATCTCTCCAGAATGTAATTTTACTATCGATTTCACTTTTCAATAGAGTATCGATGGTATTTCCTTGCAACCAATTATTATAAGAGAGTGAGGCACTAATGTGCTGCTGTGACTTTTCATGGTCAAGAATAGTTTGTGTGAAATTGCTTCTAACCGAAACACCGTTAACCCAAGCAGAGGAGTACGATTTGTTTTGACGATCTGCTAATAACCAACAGAAGTGACAGTACGGTTTGTTTAAAACGTTAGAATAACATAACCATGGTCTTATAATTTTTATGCCTGCCTGATTGAAATATGAATAATAATAAGCTGAAAAAGGTCGGTTATTTTCTGAAACTTTTGGAAATGGTCCTTGTGGTTTAAATGGACCCAATTTAAAAATTATTTTTCGTTCGCATTCAGTTAAATTGTCACCAAAATTTCCTCTATCTGATGAAATTATATTACAATCTGCATTATCTGCAGATATATCAGAATCGTTGACTTGGGGTTCCTCGATTTCTGGATGGACATCCGATAAAGTATGTGCTTGGCTTTCTTCTATTTCCGGATGGATATGTGACGAAGAACATGCTTCAGAAGAATCTAAAAATAAACGAGTAATTGTTAAAAAATAAATACGAATGCTTTGATACTAAACTAAAAAGAGTTATATATAAATAAATAACGTTACTAAGGGTCACTCTCTAGTGTTCAGTTCAGACGCACACAGATTCTACGCGGATTGTGCTCGTACCTATTAGTAGATACAAAATCACCTGCAGCCCGTCCGTGCATTACTATACACCTGCGTGCTATTTAAACGCAGCGCGTAGTGTAGTGGCCATACAAAACGAGAACCCGAAAGCGAGTCTGCACATCTGAAGTTCTCAACACGCAATTAACGATACGATACGGACTGATAAACAAACAACAAAACAAATCGATCCTATAGATAAGTTAGAATTTTGTTTTTTTTAATCAAGGCACGGAACCCTAAAAACAGTATAATTGTGAAAATCGAGGGGGGAGACAACTTTTTGTGACGGACAGATGGACAGACCGAAATTAAAAGATTTCCTTGTTTATCACTACGGGCCCCTAATAAATGGGTTGGGTAGTAGTGTAGTACTTACCTTTCCAATCTAAATCACTCACAGTATCTTGTCTCTGAAAAAATGAAGAAATTTTGGGCACTTTTTTTATAACCTCGTCCCTTTTCTGTTTAATTTTTCTTTTCTCAGTGCCGCTGGGATAATCTCTTTTCCTTTCACTCATTTCTTTTACAAATCGTTACTAATACTGCTAAACCAGAAGAACAATATTGTTTGTACTGAATTATAATGTAATGCACATTTATATAAAGCGCGTAAATAAACAGTGCACTGCACTCCGTGGTTTAACATCCAATGCAAAGTACAACAACGTACACGTACATCGCGATATCGATGAAGGATTCCCGGGGATTCCCCGCTGAGTTGAAGATGAAGTAAGTAAAACGGGGAAGTCCCGCAGCCCGCCATAACGATGTAGTGTTGCCAACTTTTGAACGCACGCTTAAGGCGGGAAAAAAAGGAATTGCTTTATAGAATTTTGTCATTTGTAAAATAAAATAAATTAGAAAGTTTTTATTATTTTTCCTTACACACTTTGGGGGCCCCCGTGGCCCGGGGGCCCCGTATAATTGATACGGCAAATACGGCGGTAGCTACGCCCCTGCCTATATGTTGACCCGGATAACCAGATATCACCATACCAAATTTCAACAAAATCCCTCCAGTGGTTTTTTTGTGATGCGATAACAGACAGACAGACAAAAATTCTAAAAACTATAGATTCGGCCTCTGTATCGATAATAATGTTTATTTTAATAAGATTTTCCAAAAAATATTTAATGTACAGATTCAGCTTAGTTAAAATTTTATCATATGTACCTATAGATGTCAAATACTCGTATTCGCGTAAACCTAAGAAAGTATTATCGTGTATTCATATTTCATTCATTCAATTCAATACAAAATCGTATATATTCTTAATTAATATTTAAAGAGATCTTATGAAAATGCATTTTAATACATTTTAAATAGTTATTAGTAAAATAACAACATTTTAATTAAGTGATGAATTTTGCCCTTAATCCACATCGCAGCCCACGCCTCTATATGTGTCTGTTTAAGTAGCACTTAACATTTATATATACGTATTTTTTATATAAGCTAACTTGATCTCTGATAACCTAGATTTCCTACATTGATAGGCTATGGACTTGTAATATCTGAACTGATGATGATGATGTTCTCCTGACCGATTCCGGCCACGGCGGCCAATCTCATTGAGACTAGCCAACTGCGCAGGAGATATTATAGTGAACAAGTGTACGCGCAGACACAACGTGCACTCTCTATTCCTGTCACTCTCATACTCTGGTGGGACGACCATTCGACACGACCAGTGAGAGTTAAGGCGCAGTACCGACGACTTTCCGTGCTCTCCGTTACTGAGGCTTACTATACAGAAAGACTCAATAACTAGACTTGGCCCGACCCGGGACTTGAACCTAGGACCTCCGGGTGTGCAGCCGTGCATGCTAGCCACTACACTACCGAGGCAGTTAATATCTGAACTAATACTAAATACATAGGCAAATAGGTAGTTATCAAATAGGCTACTGTTAGGTACCTAGAGACGCACCCAAGCGGAGCGAGTGTAATTCGCTAGTGTTTCCATAAAATATATATATATATATATATATATATATATATATATATATATACCCAATATCCATTCCATCCATATCTATAGCCTATTTTGGTTATACAATAGCCTTGATATTTACAAAGTGTTACAAAATATGTAAGTACCTATAGGCTCAATTTTCATGCAAAGTATATATTTGCATTAGCCGTACAATGTTTTACATCTATTGATAAAAACATTAATTTCCATTGAAAATTTAACTTTTTTTTCTCTCATTAAGTTTTTAAAATTATTATTTACTACTTACCTAGAATACCAACTAGGGTTTGTTACTCTCTATATATTTTAAACCTCTACAAAGTAAAAAATAATTTTAATAAATATGGTCTTTCTTCACTTTTTAAGGAATCGAGTTCAAACATAGAGCAAAAGAAAAATAAAAAACTTTTCATTTAAAAAAATTGCGTACTACTGCGTAAAAAGAAACAAAAATTGAAATTAAATAAAATAATATTAAAACTACATCATTATTTCCTTAACAGTTGACGTTTTATTCTTTATTAGCGACTCTACCTCGCTTCGTTAGTTTCGTCTCTTGTGAAAAATAAAAAAAACCTATCCCACGGGAACCGTACATTTTTTCGGGATAAAAAGTAACTTATGTGCTGTTCCAGACTATAATCTATCTCTGTGCCAAAGTTCAGCCGTTCTGGCGTGATTGAGTAACAAACATTCATACATCTAACCTTTCGCATTCATACTATTTATGGGTTTTTGGCACGGTTTAACAGAAGATAAAAGATAAAATTATCACCCACAGACCGGACAGTACTAGTAAAATCATTTGACATTTATTTAACTATGTTATCTTTTACACTCAATTTATCTGAGTCATCGTTACTCCGCTTTTTGTTTTATCATAACGTTTAATATGTACATAACCTCTCTTAGTGAATGCACTAAATTACAATAAACATTTATAAAGTAACTAGCATTGCCCGCGGCTCCGCCCGCGTTCAGATGACCAAAAACCAAATTCTTAGGTTTTACATATTAGTATACTCTTACATTGCACTTTTTATATTTTTTCTCAGAAATGAGACATTTTCCCGCGGTAAAAAGTATCCTATATGTTAACTCGGATAACCAGCTATCACCATACCGAATTTCATTAAAATCCCTCCAGTGGTTTGTAGAGTGATGCGGTAAGAGACAGACAGACAAAAATTCTAAAAATTATAGATTCGGCCTCTGCATCGAAAATAATGTCTATTTTAATAAGATTTTCCACAAAATATTTAATGTACAGATTCGGCTTAGTTAGAATTTTATTATTTGTATAGATAAGCTAATATGCTTTTAATTTCTCGACAACGCCAGATTGTGAAGAATGATTCCTATAAAAATCGGATATATGTAGTTTTAAATTGTGAAATGGAAAAACAACTTACTAAATTCACCGACATCTTTTATCTATATTTATACTTATATTATATAGAGGAAAGATTTGTTTGTTTGTTTCTACCGAATCTACTAAACCGATTGAGATGAAATTTGATAACAAGATAGTTTGAGACCCTCGGAAGATATAGGAAGTTTTTATCCCGTAACTCAACCCTTAAGCGGGTGAAAATAGGGATAAAGGTTTGTATGGGGAAGCAACCCAGGGACGAACTCAAGCGAACCGAGGATGAGTCGCTAGTACCGTATAGAATAATCTTTAAGACAAAATACTTCTTTTTTGATAAAATACAGTCAAGTCCAGAGATAAAGAATATAATATTCACTAACAAGCAAGAGTACAGTCATATCTGCGATATATTATGTTGATAATAATAAACTCTTCGCATTCTTCGAATATCTCACCTTTATCTAAATATGCTAATTGCATTGGAATTTACATGATATTTTAACTTCAGTTTAGGCTTAGGAATGTACAGATATTCCCTGGCTTTCCAGATTTTTTAAAGTGAAACTTGTTTAGAATCGTTGTGATTTGAAACTCAATGAAACGGAAATGCGACATTAATAAAATAAATAAATAATTTTTCTTTTTATTTATTTTTATTTATGTAATATAATAAATATTATGTCAAATAAAATGTAAAATAACTTTTAAACTTATACTATTAAACGTATAATAAAAAAATAAACCTTATAATTATCCTACTTCTGATACTCTATATTCATCTTATTCTCTCGACTCTCGTAGTTTACTTTTCTGAAGTTTTCTTCTACCAGTACCAGTATAAGTGAACTACACACACGCACTTTTTTTTTAATTAAATAAGTTTGAACGTGTGAATCGACTTTAGGCCAGGGCATTCACATACCTCCGGGGCAGAGGCTGACTGCTACCGGACGCGTCCCCCGGGTGGCGGATAGGGGAAGCCACTCGCGACTGTTCCCCCAGACAGGAGCTTGTGGTACCGGAGCAATCCGGCGCGGACCAACAGCCAGGAGGGGCAGGGGGAGCGGTGTCAGGAGGGCGCCGTCTCCTTCTTGGAGGTAGCGCGGTGTCTCCGGCCGTTTCGCGGTAGGAGGCGCTGCGCGGGCCGTGCTGCCGGGGCTAGCCCGTCGGTGCGGCGGCTGGAGCGGGGCCAGTTCGGTGGTCCTGCGTCTGGCGTGGGTGTCGGCAGCCATCTTGGTCCGGAGGTGGGCCGACGGTAGGGGGGCCGCGGGGGAAGAGGAGTGTCGGTATGGCGATGCGCCGCTCGTCCCTATCTCCCGCGGCCTAGCGGGGCCACCACCGTTGATGGTGGACGCGGTGGGGCTGTAGGGGAAGGGGAGTGTCGGCGTTGTCGCATCCTCTACTCCTGCAGCCGTTTGGGGTGGGCTCGGTTTCGGGCGTTGTTGGAGGTTGCCCAATTTGGGTGTGGAAGGACAGGCTTAGGCCGCTTATTTTTGCAGGTTGCCCACTTCGGTGGGCGGTGTTTGGTCGTGTGGGGCTGCTCCGGGTACTTCTCTGTTCAGCAGAGTGGACTTAGGAGCAGTCCCACGTTCAGGGTTGCAAGTCTTCCCATAATGGGGTCGTCTCGCTTGGGGCGGCCTCATGGTTGGTGGCTTCGGCCAACCGTCGGGGCGTCACGGTTGTATGCGAAAGCGGTCCCGTGGCGTCCCACATGGCGGCTGTGGGGAAAGTTGGGTTTTAGTGGGTATGCCGGTCTCATTAGCCGGAGAGTCTCCACATAACCACCCTGGGGGGAAGTCGGGTGGTATCCGTAATAGGATTTCCCAACTATAAAAAAAAAAAAAAAAAGGGCATTCACATACCAATCTTACTTCATTCTTTAAAGCTGAATTGATTTCTTTCCTGTATAAATGCGGGAAAGAAATTTTAAATTATACTATTTTATACGATCTCTCCGCGGTTTTATTTTTAAATTTTGTTGCCATTATTTATTTTTTTATATGCCTTTTTTCTTTTCTTTTAAATTCATCTCCGTGACCGTGTTTGATGTAAACATTTGAAACGTCCCGGCCCTGGACGAAAAATCCGAAAATAATTTTACTTAAAAATCATAACACTTAAAGCATAATTTTGTATGAAATTTAATAATTTCATTTTTTACTAGTTTTGA